CTTGATTTGGGATAGCATAAACCTCTAGCCATTTACTGAAGTAATCCATGACCACTAAGACATACCGGTTCCCAGAGTCGCTTGTTGGGAACGGTCCAGCCACATCCATTGCGATTCTCTCAAAAGGGGCTCCTGAATTATACTGCTGCATGTAGCCTCGACTCTTCCGTGTTGGACCTTTAGCTCTTATGCACCTTTCACAATTGGCGATCCAGTCGGCAATGGATTTTTGACAGCCGACCCAGTAGAATCTCTGCTTTACCTTTTCAGCGGTCTTTGCTATGCCAAGATGTCCTCCACTTGGACCATCGTGAAACTCCGACAAGACATCTCTTATTTTGGAGTCTGGGACGACGATCAAGTTCCGGTGAGATTTACCGTCCTCACTTTCCCATTTGCGATATAAGCAATCATCTATTATCAGTAGACTGTCCCACTGGGCCCAATATGATTTTAAAAGAGGACTTTCGGAGGTAATTTCTTTGCGACTAGGTCGCTTGCCCGCTTCTATGGCCGAAATTATTTTGCCCAGAATGGGATCTCTTCGTTGTTCCGTCGACCAATCTTCACCCGACTCAAACTGCAATAGTCGGACATCAACGATATTCTCTTTATTCTCAGCCTTTGAGCAGTGCCTGCATTCTACTTTGCATGGCCGACGAGACAGGGCATCAGCATTACCGTGTTTTCCGCCTTTTCTGTGCTCGATTCTGAAGTCATAACTCTGGAGCCTCTCGATCCAACGGGCTAGTGACCTTCCGGATTCTTAAACTGCAGCAACCATTGGAGAGCAGCGTGGTCGGTCCTCAGCAGGAAATGCTGGCCATATAGGTATTTGTGGAAGTGTTTAACGCACTCAAGGACAGCAAGCAGCTCTCTCCTCGTCACACAGTAATTCCTCTCAGGTTTCGACAATGTCCGGCTGTAGTACCCGATGACTTTTTCCTGTCCGTCGATTTCCTGGGAAAGGACGCCACCGATGCCGCACGCACTTGCGTCTGTGTCCAGAACAAACTTGCCGCCAGGTATAGGGTATGCCAAAATGGGGGCTCTGCATAGCATGTCTTTGAGCTTTCTGAATGCCTCCTCCTGGTCGTTGCCCCACTGAAACCTCTGGCCTTTTTGCGTCAAGCGGTGTAGACATGCGGCGATGTTGGCAAAATTTTGGACAAATCGACGGTAGTATGTGCAGAGACCCAGAAAGCTTCGCAGCTCATGGAGATTTCGGGGCTGCGGCCAATCTCTGACGGCTTGAATTTTCTCCTTATCCGTCGATATGCCCTCCGGTGTCACGTGGTGCCCCAGGAACTTCACCTCTCGTTGGAAGAGACTGCACTTCTTTGGGTTCAGCTTGAGGCCTGAAGACGAAAGCTGCTGTAGAACATCCTTTAAGTTCTTGATGTGTTCGTCGAAGTTGCGTCCCATGACTATGATGTCATCCAGGTATATGAGGCACGACTTCCACTGCAGCCCTTTTAACACACGCTCCATCAGCCTTTCAAATGTAGCCGGGGCGTTGCAGAGTCCGAAGGGCATGACATTGAACTGCCAGAGACCCCCATTAACGCCAAACGCTGTTTTCTCTTTATCATTCTCGGCGATCTCTACTTGCCAGTACCCACTCTGCAGGTCGAGGGTGGAGAACCATGACGTCCCGACTAATGTGTCCAATGTGTCGTCGATTCTTGGGAGCGGATAGCTGTCTTTCTTGGTGACATCATTCAACTTCCGGTAGTCCACACAAAATCGGGTGCTTCCGTCTTTCTTCTTGACCAATACCACTGGGGAGCACCATGGACTTGACGATGGTTCTATTACACCACTCTTTTCCATTTCACTTATCAGCTTCTGGACCTCGTCTCTTTTCGCCAGGGGAACACTTCTTGGAGGCTGTTTAATGGGTCTCGCTTCTGCTGTATGGATTTCATGCTTCACCACTGATGTTCTTCCCTGGTGCTCTTTTGTCAACGCAAAGGTAGAGGCATATTTCCATAATAGCTGCTTAGCCTTGTTCCTCTCGGAAGGTTATAATTGGTGTGTCCACTCTTTTATGTAGCCGTCGAGGTGCTTCTTCTCCATGGCTGCTGGCTTTTCGGTGCTAGTTTCCAAATTAATTACAGCTTCAGCTGGTGTGCATTGTCCAACATCGGAAAATTGGCAAATTTGCTCTTGCTTGTTTGACAGGTTCAAAACTCTAACAGGAATCAATCCGTCCTTGTTGCTTTTCACCAGGGCATTTGCTATTAGGATGTTATTGTTTATGTTTTCTGCTGGTTCCACCACCCACAACTTCTCGGCTCCACAATCTCCATTCATTGGTACCCATATTATTGCTTCGGCACAGGGCGGTATTATCTCTGGATGGTCCGTAGTCAGACGTCTAATGGGTGTACTTTCGTCGTAGCCCACGTTTAACGGAATTTCGACGTTAGACCAGGTCATCACACGCTCTTTCATATCCAGATTGATACCGAAGGCAATCATAAAATCTGCGCCTATTATCACTTCGTCTACGATATCGGCAACTATAAACTCGTAATTCACCGATTTATTGGCAATAGTTAGTCTCAGGGTAATCTTGCCGTGTACTGCCGCGGGCTCCCCCGTTGCTGTGCGCAGTCTGACTCCATTAAGTTGCGTTATGTTTCCCTTTACCAGATCTGATCTTATGATGGACTTTGATGCGCCAGTATCTAACGTCAGAACTCGCTTGTCACCATTGATGTACCCAGTTGTTGTTAGGTTGTGACTTTTCTGTTGTACTATTGCTATGGAGATTGTGGGGCCATCGTCGATGGGAGCCAGTTCATGCCCCGCTGGACTGGCTCGATTTAGTTTAACGGTGGCTCATTGGTGGACTGTTGAGCCATTCGTCTACCATCTTTCGTTGGGGGTGGTGACGATGACCTGGATCGTTTGCGCTTAGCTCTGCATTCGCGCGCAATATGACCTGCTTTATCACAGTTGTAGCATCTAACCCTGGGCTTAGTCATCCCTACTAACTTTGTTTCTTCTATTACCTGCCTCATGGCGTCCTTGATCGAGTTAACGAGAGATTTGGGTTCGCAACCTTCGGTCTCCAGTTGGCGAATCTTGTGGGTCTGGGGCTTAACAATTATTCTTGCCGTCTCTTGGGCAAGGGAAAACGACACAGTTTCGGCAAACGACGCTTTTGGTGACGCATATGTTGCACATTTAATCTCAGGGTCACGTATGCCATTCACAAAGGTTTCGATTTTCATACGGTCCAGCAATGGGTGATTCTCTCCTGGATACGCCATTAGCACCAAACGTTCCACCTCAGCTGCAAAGTCTTGTAACGTCTCGTTTGCCCTCTGTACTCTTCCCCTTAATTCCATAAGGTAGATGTTTTGTTTATGTTCGCCACCGTACTTACGTTCCAGTGCAACAATAACATCTTCATAGTTGTTTCTAGAAGCGACAGGAATACTCTGTATAACATCAGCAGCACTGCCCTTCAATGCTAGAAGTAGTGCAACCGCTTTGTCGCTGTCGTTCCACGAATTTCTAGAAGCCACTGTCTCGAACTGTAACTTGAAAACATTGAATGATGTAGAGCCGTCGAATACAGGAGGTTTGATTTTTAGTGTGTTATCAGGAACTCGCACCGGACCACCTTTGATTTCCAGTTCCGACATTTTCTTCTCCAGATTCGTAAACCTTTGGTCGTGGGCCAGAAATTTCTCATCCACAGAGAGAATCTTCTCGTCAACCGACTGCACTTTCTTATCCAACTCTTTAATTTGGACCTCCACGGTTTCCACTCTCCTTCCAGTAAATTCTGTAATGTTCTCGAGTTTCTCGTTCATTATTCTCGAATTTTCTTCTAACTTTCTGAAATTCTCTTCGCTCCTTCTGGAATTTTCCTCAAACATTTTTGCCAGCATTTCTCTTAAATCGTCACTCCTGGCAGCTACTGACGAGACTTCCCCACCGTTGGATTCGCCCATTTCCGATAAATCCACTTCATCCTTATTGTCAAACTCGTATGTATCGATGTTCATACCACGGCGCTCGAACTCATCCAACAGACGTTTTTGTAGTTCAGCCTAGTTGCCAGTAGAGGACAATTCCAATTTATTCAGCTCCTTCTTCAAGCCTTCCACTCGTAGATCCTTAAACTTCATCGTAGTATTATCGTAATCCCACTTCTGACACCAATTGTTACGTTCTTGGCTTTTACTGAATCCCCAAATAAAACGCGGGTTCTTTCGGATTACGATTATTACAATGATTTTATTCACACAACTTTACTTTGCACTTTACTTTACTCGACGGTTTCAATTCGCGATCTCATTCACAACTGACTCACTGCCTTTCCATTTCCCCTATTTATATGACCCTCGCTTGTCGCTACAGAAGTTTCTAGACGATCTGGTAACACCTAGATTACGAACAATCTACCAATGCAACAAAAACACATACAAACTTACATTGAGTAAACAATAACAACAACACATACAAACTTACATTGAGTAAACAATAACAACAACACATACAAACTTACATTGAGTAAACAATAACAACAACACATATACAGGCGAGGGGGTAACAAAGAAAGAGGAATTAAGCGATCATCAATGATGACGTTTAACAAGAATTGTACGACAATAACAAAATAGAAAATGAAAGAGGAAATGGAAGGATGTAGAAAAATCTATACAGTAGTTGTTGTTGTGAAGTTATTCAAATAAACTGCGTAGTACAAATTTACGTTACAATTCAAATTCTTAAATTAGCGGACTTCATCTAAATTTATATTCGTAACAATATTTAAACAGTTCTTTAAATTCCACTTTTCTACTCAATTGTACAGTACTAGTTAATTACAATCGTGTGACATGTGGCAACATTATCAACATCAGCTGGACTATGTTCACATAGTTCCATTCAGTGAATATCTCCTCTATTGAACTCGTTTATTCGGCAACAAATTACCAAAGGCTTTCCATTTCTTGGTTTTTAAATAAATTTATAAAAGAGAAATATAACAGAAATGTCCTTATTTGTACGACTAACCACGAACACAATTCGAAACAATGTTGTGTCCATTAGAAACATAACAACAACAATGACCAATAAAGTTAAAGAAAGTAAGTTTGTCATAAAGAGGAATCTCAACAGTTGTGCACCGAGTAGTTTCATAACCTTTAAAACAATTACAATAACATAATTTTTGTAAAAAAATCGGTTTTTTTCAGTACAGCAACGCCAAGAAAACAATTCGCTTATTATTGAAGCTGTAACCAAACCCTCACCTCGTGCTGATAATATGCTTAAAGAAGCCTGCACCGCGAAATTTTGTCCCGAATGTACATTGGGTTTAGATTTGAAACACACTGATGTTTTGATTCTGTCACAGTATGTCCGATCGGATGGCTGTATGCTGCCGAAACGTATTACCGGTCTTTGCTATCGCCAGCAAAAGAAAATTGGCACATTGGTTACAATGGCTCAGAAGGCTGGTCTTATGCCCAATCTAACACCGGCCAATAGCAAAAAGGATCCCAAGAAACGTTTCGGTTGGAAAAAGTTTAACAAATATTTCAATGAAAAAACAATTAAATATTGAGATGGAAAAAGTAGTTAATTAATTTTTGTTAATATAAAAAAACGATATTGTTGAAATAGAAGTATACAGAAAATGTTTCGTATTTTAATGGGAGTGAAGCTAGTTGAAAATTTCGATTTGTCCGGCGTTAAATTGGTAAGTAATGTAACATAAAACAATTCTAAAAAGAGAGTCTATAAATACTTCCCTACAACTTTCGGTCCCTTTTTGTTGTAATATAGCTAAGTAGGCCTTTGCTAATTTTAAGAATATTCATTAGATATCCAGTAGAGTCAACAATGATCTGTTTATTTTCCCCCCTTCATTAAAATGCTCAGTTGAACAATTTTATTTTATTTTGATTCAATACTTCTTAAGCTTTATTGAGAGATTCTTCTCCTTTAGAGAAAAATGTATAATGCGAATTGTAATATATTAAAAGTCTTTAATACTTAGTATGACATTTTAATACACATACAATAATTCTATATATAGGTTTTTATACGCGTAGATTGTAAATTAATTACAATAATAATATTTAAAAAATAATAATACACACAATTCATGGGCGCCGCCATCCTCCAACCCCATTGCAATTTAGAAAAAATTATGATTCATCAGTAAATTGGCATCGGACGTTTTTGTGGCCTTCTCCAGACCATGTATACGTTGCATATGCATTCTCAGTGTTGACCTTTGACTAAATGCTTTCGAACAATGTGTACATTTGAAGGGCGTTGGATCCTGATGGGTCAACATATGCTCCTGGCATGCTGTCTGTTGACGATATGCCTTACCACACAGCTGACAACGGAATGGCTGTTCTTTGGTGTGGGTTCGCTCATGATTGATCAAGTGTATCTTCTGATGGAATGCCTTTGTACAGAAGGAACAGGAAAACCGTTTTTCACCATGTTGCCGGACATGATATTGGAAACGCATCTGAGTGTAATTTTCAAATTGTTGATTACAAATGTGACAAGTGTAGGTCGACTTCAAATGGAAATTCTTAACGTGTCGCTGCAAATGTAATTGACTGCGGAAATATTTTCCACACTCCTCACATTGTGTGGAATCGGGACGATTGTGTTTGAGTTTATGTTGGGCAAGCATAAATGTCGATTTAAAGGTGCTTGTGCAAATATCACACTCAAATGGTTTCTCTTGTGGATGAAAACGCATTATATGGGTCTTCAGTTGTTGGCGACTTGCGCAAGCCTGATGACATATTTTACATGTAAGCCGAGGATTAAAGGTTTTCGGTTTTTTCTGTTTCATTTTGTAGCTTTGCAGTGACTCATCTTCATCGTCCGATGACATAGAATCATCCGATTGCTCTTCATCCGAAGTGGGCGTCGACGATTCCTCTTCATCTGAGGAATTAGGATGAGATCTAATTTTATAATCAATTTGATGAGGTTCTTGGATTATTTCTGATTCCGGTTTTATCACCTCCATTGTTTCCATATCAATGGGCTCGGTTTTAATCTCCTCAAACAATGGAGGTGGTGTACCAATCGAAGAAGATGTATCGAGACATCCAGCCATTTCCACCAAACGTGGACTTAGACGCAGTCTAGGGCTACTGAAAGGTGATCCGGCTACATCATTGCCGTTGTATTTGCAATTAACAGATCTATCAACATCCTTATTGTTTAGCACGGAATCCGGGGCAATTTCATTGTCCACGCTTGGTATCTCCGATTTAGGTGTAAGCTTTCCAGCATCCAACACTTCGTAGTCCAAAAAATAACTTTGTAAAATTTTCTGACTATCAAGACATTCTTCGCGAAACGAATGAACCTGCTTGAATCTCTGAAAACATTCTTCGCATATCTGTTGCGGCATACCATCCATGGCATTGATCTGAAACAAAAGTTAAATAAAATAGAATAGATGGAACGGGGAATAGTATACGATTTGCATGTACATTCAATTTCCATATTAGAAAATCTTCAAAGATGTCTTTGATATCTTCATTAGGCTCATAATAAACGTCATTCGCTGCTGCTGCTGCACCATCACAATTTTCACTATCACCGCCACCACTGTCTTCGATATTGTTGCTGCAGCTGCTGTTCGTTTTTTGTTTCTCTTGGAATATTTTATAAAATTTCACATTTTCACTAAAGAAACGACTACAACAACGACAAGTGGTATGTAGGAACAGTTTTTTATCGAAACAGAAATCAAAAGCCATTGTTAAATTGCAATATTTTCCCTTTTATTCGGAGTTCGTTTTTCTGTATGTTGTGCGTAAAGCTTAGGGATAAGTAAAGTTCAATTGAAAGATTCACTAAAGTGAACTTACGAACTCTTACACAATCCACTGTAAAATGATTACTCAATTACACTATTCACTGTAAAAGGTTATCTAAGGCAGCGACGACGGCGGTAGTAAAAATGAATTTTGATTAATGGGGTTCCAAGACCCGTAACCTACGAGAATATAAAGGGTATAAATTTGAAATTAGTAGAATATCAAACAATTAAGCGGAAAACAAATGAAACGTCATGTTGCATAAAAAATTTTCATTACAAATAAATGTCCATGCCCCTTTGAAGGATAACATGAAATTTCTCAACACAGTAAGTTCCTTTGTAGGTCAGTATTTCCAAAATACACAAACTATTTATCTCTACCCTTAAAAGACGACCAGAGTTTAAAAATATTTGTTAATTTTAAACCGAAATAACATAATAGATTAAAAAGATTACTATTTATTTGTATATGCTACAAATGTATCATTTTAATTCCATTGAGAATAATTAACATTATAAATACAATTAAAAAATTATCTTGCAAATGCAGGTTGTAAAGTGGCAAATGTTAAAAATCCTGTATGACCTGGTTGTGTGGGTGGGGCTGCTGATGTTAAGACTTTTATTGTCTCTTTTGGTTGTTTTGCCGCTGCAGTCACATCCTTTTGATTTGTGTCTTCTTCAGTTGGATTTGTTTTCTGCGAAGAAAGTAGTAAAATTACATGGGGAATAGGGCAACATTTCGAATAAAGATTTTACCTTTGTTTTAACAAAATCCAAATTAATTACAGGAAAGGTTTTCGTCTTTACAATATCCTCTTGCTGTAGAATTTCAAATGATTGAATTTCTGTGAAACCAAGCTCCTGCAATGCCACACAACAACGTTGTGACTGTTCAATACAGGGAGAAAATGAGCAGAAGCGTCCACCTTTTTTGTTAAATAGAAATTGTTTTTAATTAAATAGCTTAATACTTCTCATAAAATATTATTTACCGCTTTCCTTTAGTGCTTTATAGGCATGTGGCACTGCTAGCTGCGGTGCTGGCAAATCCAAAAATACTGCATCCGCTTTACCATTCAGCTCTTCGCCAAAACCATTCTCACAGACATCTCTGTGATAAACGGTCACAAAATCGCCCAGACCATGGTGCTGAAATTCCTCTCGTGCCTGATTAGCTCTGGCTTCGTGAAAATCAAATGTATGCAGATGACCATGTGGCTTAACAGCCCTCAAAAAGTAATGTGACAATGATCCAGACCCTGTACCCGATTCAATAACAATCGATCCCGGTCGTATTTCAAGTTGATGCAATATCATACTAATATCGGGCGTATAGATAATTTGCGTTCGGTGGGGCAATGTCTGTGTCCATAATTCCGGATTGGGTTGCAAAACATAGGCATATCCTTTGGATAACTCCACACGACTGCCATATTTGACACCGATTATATTTCGCACTTTCAATGCTCCGAATGAAGTTTGAAATATATGTTCAATTGTTTCGCCTTTTTTATTTACTATGGTTGGTGTCGCTTCGATGACGTGCATCGAATTGACACTAATGTAAAGGATGACAGTATCTCCTTCGTCTATAACATCTTTGGGTTTCAGGAAACTCATTTTATAAAATACTCTCTCTTTCAGATATTGTGCGGCAAAAGTTAAACAAAAAATATCAACAAATCTCACGTGTATTTAGAGATGACGAACTATCGATTCGATTATCGGTATATTTTGTGGAAATTTCGATAAACACATTGCTTATTTTATTATCAATATGGCAACATTTTAACAGCATCCCAATGCACAGTGAATGCGTAATCTCACGAAGAAGAAGCTTCTGCGTTTCTCATTTAGCGGTGTTTTACACTGTTCGTCATGGACATTCGTCATGAGAGTTTTCTCTCTCTCATTGGTAAATTGGGAATAGAGTTGGAAAACATTGCCACAGGTAGGAGCAAAAAAGTACCTAACATTTTACTTTAAATGATAAGAAATCATAATTATCGAGAAATATTGGCCAATATTTATACCAGTTATTTTCATATATAATATATTCGTATGTTCCCGTACTGCAATAATCTACTCGATTTTACTATTTTATTTATTTATTCCATTCAATAATACATGAGCCTCCAAGGCCAAAAATAGTACCAACAATGACATAATGTCCTAATAACTAATAATACATAAATATCAAAAAAAAATACTTAGTTATATTTTCTTCGATATCATAAAGGAAAATTCGTTACTGTAGTAAAAAGTTGTATATTCTTGCAGTACAGGAACAGACCATATGTTATAATTTAAACGTAAATGTATTCACGAATAATAAAAAGTCTACTTTTTGTTTTGGTACGTTTATGTAAATTCGTACCTTTTGTGAAACGGTTGTTAGAAAATTAATTACTCTCAATTTACCAATGATAGAGAAAAAGCTCTCATGACGAATGTCCATTACCAACAGTGTATAACCCCACTTAGACTTTTTAATACAAAAAGTCGATTAATCGAAAGTCCATTTACTTGTCCCTACTCACGAAGAAGAAGAAGTATAGTAATAGCCAATTATTTAATTTACAGCCGATAGATAGGAAAGAGGTAATTTTGAAACATATATACACAAATTAGTATATACGTATCATCCTCGTGCTCTTTCACCCTTGATGTTTAAACTTCTCACAAGGTCGTGCAATCTACTACTAGCCCCAACCAAACATTCCACCTGCGCTACAGCTAACCTCTATAGTACAATTTCGGCTGCTGCACTAACAAGATTAAAAATGTCGGAAGAAAAACCAAAAATTGTTTTTGTCTTGGGTGGTCCAGGTGCTGGTAAGGGTACACAATGTTCAAAAATTGTCGAACGTTTCGATTTCGTCCATCTATCGGCTGGTGATTTGTTGAGAGAAGAACGTGCCCGTGAAGGTTCCGAGGTTGGAGCATTGATTGAAGACTACATACGTAATGGAAAGATTGTACCGGTAGAGGTGACGTGTTCGCTTTTAGAGGCGGCAATGAAAAAATCCGACAAAAACAAGTTCCTTATTGACGGTTTTCCCCGCAATCAAGACAATTTGGACGGTTGGAATCGTCAAATGTCCGACAAGGTGGATTTCCAGTTTGTATTGTTCTTCAATTGCTCTGAAGAGATTTGCGTTGATCGCTGTCTGAGCCGAGGAAAAAGTGGTTCCGGTCGTTCGGATGACAATATGGAAAGTTTGAAGAAACGCATCCAGACGTACAACAATGATTCTCTACCCATTATTAAGCATTTCGAAGAACTCGGCAAGGTTAAACAAATTGATGCCAGTCCTTCGTCGGATGAGGTGTTCTCTAAGGTGGAGGAAGTGTTTGTTCAAAGTGGTTTCTAAATAAATTGAATTGCATGATATTGTATATCTATTAAATTATTGCCGATTTGCTTAGATGATATTTTTTTCTTTGTGTCCTTGTAATATTAAATAATGTTAGTTAAAATCGTGGTTGGAAAACGATAACAAATAGGAAATGTTCACCGTCGAATGGAATTTTATTGTGGTTTTAAAGTAATAAATGTAATTGCTAAGCTCAATGCTATAATATAAAATATTGAATTTAAGTGCTTTTTAATTGTTGCCAGATGTGTTGAGAGAGGAGTGGAGGTGGTACAAAGAAAAACTCGTGTTGAAGTTGCCTTATATTTAGCTTTCATTTTACATTACATGCTCTGATGGGGTGATATCAGATTGATAAGATACACAAAAAGATAACTATATAAAAAATACAAATAAAAAAATAATGACAAAAATATATATTTTTAGTCCCGTCTTAATTTATCCAAACGGGCCTGTAAGTCGGCATCTGCATCGGACATGGGTGTTGAGCCGCCACTACCGCCTGCGGCTCCACCATTACCACCTGAACTGGTTGTGCCACCGGTTGCACCGGCCGCGATAGCTGTGGGTGTAGTTTTGCTGCCGCCGGCAATGGACAATGAACCAGAAGCGGTGGGTAAATCGCCTAGCTGTTCGCCCAATTGCAAGCCCAGCTCGTCCAATACTTGGGCCACAACAGCATCGGTCTCCTCTTCATCGCCCTCTGCTTCCATTGCATCATCCATGGCGTCATTAATCATTTCTTCCTTCATGTCCATTATTTCGGATTGTTTTTCGAAATCGTGCAAAATCTTTTGTATTTGAGGTAAATTCATTTGACGATTCATGTTCTGCATGGCTTTGGTGACACCTGTAAATGGGAAAGTATTGTTAGTAATAAGTTTGGTAGCTAATACCCGTAATTGTGTTTACCCTTCATAGCCTCAGCCATGGTATTTTGAGATTTCAATGTTTGTATCTTCAGTGACACGGCCTGAATGTTGGCTTTCATCAACATAAACTTCTTGACATAACGTCTTGTGCGTACCAAATCCTTGGCCATAATTTTCACCGCATCCATTTGACCTTCCTTGGCCATTTTTTTAATGTCGGCAATGATTTTCTTCTCCTGCTGTTCCATTTTCATTCGCTCCCTATCCAAATCTCGCATAGCCTTGTTCAAAGCCCTTTGATTTTTTCTCAACATTTCATCGGGTGAGATTTTCTTACCGAATAGCCAATCCATGTTGTTGTTTTTTTATTGGGGTGGGAGCTGTTATTAAAAACTTAATGGAATAAAATTATTTCGAAAAATAAGTTCTAATAAAAATTGTCGTCTACAACGGAGTTTTTTTAATCATAACATAAAGAAAAACATTACTCACTACCTCTTCTTCTTCTTATTTATGTCTGGCATTCACCAGACTATGACATCATCAAGTAAAATAGGGTATTCGGTTATTGATTGCATGAAATACAATAATGGCGTTAACGTTTGGCGTCAGTAACAGATTTTTAGTCATTTAAGTACCGTTATTTTAATGAATTTGTAGACAGGGCTGTCAAAATGCAATCAATGAAGGAACATTTTTAGAAATACAATGACCAATACCGGATGCCATCAATCAGATGGCTAAAGTTTTTTTTGGATGAATGGGGTAATGATTACGTGCAAGTCGCAAGCAATGGTAACTCTCATTTTTATAAAATCTTTCCCTCACGTACAAGAACACAATGGTTTAAAAATTGTAATTTGAACTATTTTTCACAAAAACAAATCAGTAGAATATTTAGTGGCCACTGTTTCTGCAAGAGCACCTTGGCAAAAATGAATGTGGTACCAGATAACTTATGCGAGGACTGCGGAGAAGCCGAAAGGGCCGCACATATAATCTGTGGATGTCGTAAATTTAATAATACAAGATGATGGTTTCAGGAACTATGTGATTTCTCCACACTTGAAGACTCCACGAATTCACTAGCCTTATAAAGTTTGAACATTGCGGCAAAAAACCTAAAAGAAGTTGGAGTCAACCTATGAACAAGAAACACAAATCACCAGCAGCAATGGGGGAAGTCAAATCTGTAGCTTAGCAAAGCATGGAGACATGATTCAGAACATTCTAACTTTTAGTAGGACGTGAGCCAGGAAGGAGATGAGTTAATAAGGAAAAATGTACCGTTTTATTTTAGGAAACCAAGTATATTGTTGAAAAATTAATTGGATCAAGACCCATGGAAGAGGTCTTGTAAGAAGCAATCATTATCGGTCATTTTGATTGTAACACCCTCGTGCTGTCAAATTTTTGTTTACATTTTCTTACGATTAACTCAAAATATAAAGAGTTTTGATAGGACGAGTGAAATCATTTGGACAAAAACATATTACATGTTCAGGTTGCCCTGTCCGAACCACTTCAGTAAATTAAAACAAGTTCCATAGTTGAAAAGAAGCTTAGAAACGGACAGAGTATAGCTAAATGTCGGTTCTAGACACCTGTTTCACTTGGTGTTACTCTCCGACCGTGGGTTAACGTTATAAGGATATATCCATATAATTCTTCACATTCAACATTTTTTCCCAATTTAATTTTAAAGTTATTTTTCTCACTATATAAAATAACAACAGTATTAAAAAATTCCAATATATGTTCTTTTTAATAATTCAAATAAATTTGGGTTTATTTTTTATTGCCAAATCCCGGATGGCTACAATTAATAATGATCATTGAAATAAACACAAAATAAGTAAGCATATTATACTATCTATTTGAAAACACTATAGTTTTAGTTTAAAATAAAAAATAGTCCAAAAATAAAAACAAAAAATTGAAACATTTTGTTTTTTGATTTTCTTGTTGATGATGCACAATCTTAAGTACATTCTATGTATAGTCACAGTTTGGTTATTAGTATAATGCCATTTGATGCATCTTTGTGTTATCTTAGGAATTATAAATAAAAACAATTTAAATAAAAACTTTATAATTATAGTTTCTTTTTTACTTAAAGGTGTTAATAAATAAAAAAATAGAATGAAAATAGAGAGACATGTTTTAGGTTTAAAACAGAGAGAGAGCGGAAGAGAAGAAGGAAACAAATTAACTATATATTATTAAATATTGCAAATATATCTGCATAACTGCGGCAAATTGTTTAAATTTAATTGTGATGATTGACGTAGGTATGACATTTCAGTTAGTTTCTTTGCTTTCAACATACATATTTTAGTCATCATTTTGATATGAAACATAAACAGCATCACCACCAATGCTTATTAAACATTGGCCCTGAAAATACATTAAAATAATTCAATTTAATTCTTAATTGTAATTGTTACATTAAATTTTACAAAATTTACCTGATTTTTATGCTGGTTATCGAATAAAATTAATTCATTTATATAATACGAGACCATGGCATTGCCACCCAATGAAGCAATATGGGCTCGTACCACTGCCAATAGCTAAAATATAATTTATTTTTGTTAGAAAAAATATATAATATTAAAATGTGAACGTATTACCTCTGTTATAAAGCCATGTACAAAGCCGCTTATACCACCATTTTCTCGTATAGATGTACTTTCGCGTATAAAGAAGAAATTTAAATTTCCTAAATATTTTTCAATTTTTCCACCGGGTATGAATGTCATTGGCGTAATATCTACACCATTACGATCACACATGCGATTCTAAAAAAAATCATATTAAATATATATTTTCCCATATTATCCCTTCTTATATACTTACAAATCTCTGTTTAATTGATCCCGGAGCCGTTGTTAATTGTATCGGTGAAGATTTACGATTTTTAAAAAGTTGCGCACCAAACATTGGTATATTTGTGGCGGGCGTTGGTGTCTCCACCATTTGGTCCTCATCCAAAGGAAATATATAATCTTCATCACATGTCGATTTTTGATCCATTGTTTGATGATGTTGTTGCTGTTGTTGTTGTACAACGGACATTGCATTTGCTGCATTATCCACCAATTGACCATTAGATACGGGTTTACGTCGTGCTTTTGTTTTAGATGGATCACCCAGTCCTAATGCCATACCGGTAACTAATATTTGAATTTGATCCTAATAAAAACAACAATAACAACAGATAAATATATATTGTATAAACGAGAAGATTTTTGTTATATATTAGGGTGGTGCTTACACTTTCCGGGAAATCCAATTTAAATTTTAAATCACAAATGGCACAGGGAATCATGGTACGCAGTTTGAAATATATTGTCTGCAGCAGTCTTTAAAACAAACATACATAATATAAGTAAATATTTTTCGATAATAAATTAAAAAAATAGTCGATAGCATATTTCCTATTAAGAAAAGTTGTAGAAAATATATTTTCTAGTGAGGAACTTTTTCGATAACATACTTTTTGTGAAGAAATGTTTCGATAACAACATTTTTTTAGATAAAATTTGTCGATAACAAAATTTCTATATAGAAACATTATCGATAACAATAATTTTAATATGTCGATAACAACTGGTTCACGGAAAAAATTGTTGATAACAATTTTTCAATGGGAAAAAGTTGTCGATAACATCTTTCCTATGGAGAAAAACTATCGATAACAATTTTCTATGGAGAAAAGCTATCGATAATAACATTTCTGTGAAGACAAGTTATCGATAACAACTTTTGTATAGAGAAAATTTAACTAAAATACTTTTTCTATGGTGTAAAAATATCGATAACTATTTTTTTTTTTGTAGAGAGATACTCTAGACAACATATTTTCTATGACGAAAAGTTATCTGTACAACTTATATGTAGAGAAAAGCTATCGATAATTGATTTTCTATGATGAAAAACAATCGATAATTGCTTTAATATGAAGAAAAGCAATCGATAATTGCTTTTCTATGAAGAAAAGCAATCGATGATTTATTTTCTATGAAGAAAAGCAATTAATTGCTTTTCTATGAAGAAAAGCAATCGATAATTTCTTTTCTATGAAGAAAAGCAATCGATAATTTCTTTTCTATGAAGAAAAGCATTCGATAATACATTTTCTGTGGAGAAAAGTAATCGGTAATTAATTTTATGTAAAGACACTTTGTCGAGAACTGTTTTGCGAAGGAGAAAAGTTATCGATAACTGTTTTTCTTTAGATAAAGGCTATCTATAACAATTTTCTTTGGAGAAATGCTATCGATAATAACATTTCTGGGAAGACAAGTTATCGATAACAACTTTTGTATAGAAAAAAGTTATTAATAATAACGTTTCTAAAGAAATAAAGTTATCGATGACTCTTTTCTGTGGAGAAAAGTAATCGATAACACATTTTCTGTAAAGATACTTTGTCGAGAACTCTTTTACGAAGGAGAAAAGTTATCGATAACTACTTATCTGTAGAAAAAGCTTTTGATAAATATTTATTTCAGAAAATTATGTTATCGACATTATTGATAACAGTTTTTTTATGAAATATCTTGATGAGGAAACAGTTTGTCTACATAGAAAAATTATCGGCAAAAAAAAAAAAAACAGTATAATAATATAATTTCAAAAGTGTCATTTATCATTACCTTTGAAAATGTTTTGGAAATCCACTAACACTTTGACCACCATCCGCCTTGGCCCTCCATACTTGTGTAAACATCTGTAGATTTTTGACCGCTTCCATATCCATCATTCCGGGCACTTTCTCCGTACTCACAACATGAAAACCTTCCGGTGGTTGTTGTTCCATTAACAACGAAATTATCTCTAAATCTTCAATATCATCTACTTCGAGAACACATGTATCTTTATTACCACAATTTAAATCGATATCTACACCCTCTTCGTCGGATTCATCGGTATCGGAACTTTTATCTAACATTTCTTGGTCCAATGGTTTCAGCTGATAGATATCCTGATAGCGTTCAAATGTCTCCTGCAACTTCTTTTGCAATTCGTTTAGTTTCTGTTTGTCGGTCCATGAATTGCCGGCAACTATTTTCGGTACTTGCGGTATGGGTAATGCCGTAATGAAAAGGGCCGTACCGGTGGCAACTAAGGCCAGCATACGTTCACCAATTGAAACCTGGACCCGTAAACCGAATATTGCATTCATACCCTTTGCCTTTAATTTGTTGATCAGGACACGATGTAATTCATATTCCAGAAATGGTAGACCATCGGAAATTTCCTTGGCATTTGATTCGGAACGTAAATCCTTTTTGGCTCGTACAACTTGAGCTTGTAGGAAACAACCACGACCTAGGGGAATGCATTTTGTTGTTGTTAAGGTTTGGAAATAAGGGGATAATTTAGCAGTGGCTAACCTGTCACTTGTATACAATCCGGTACCTCTAGGGTAGCCAATAGTACATCAGGAACACGACCTTTACCACATATTGCACACTTCTTCATTTTTACACTAAACGGTATCGTATTGGCATTATAGGGAACATGACAAATTGTACATGATGTTTTGGGGGTTAACATCATCGATGGGAATCCATACTTTTTGCCGGCCGAACCATTTGAAATGGCCCCTGAATCTTTGCCAGATACCTCACTGCTGCCCATATTACGTTCTTCCAATGAGGCCGACATAACACTGCCCCCCGTGGGTTTTGTTATATTGAATATATCACTTTGGGATATAGAACGATTGTAACCCATATTAATAATGGCTGCTGTGCCGGTGGCCGAAAGGACGCACACATCATCACTGGGGGAAAACAAAATATTGAAAAAATCATTTGCAATCATTTTTCCTTTTTGTTATTGTACTTACGAAATTGTTGTTGATTCCGAATAGCCAAGTACCACATTACAACCCAATGAACGGGCATGGGAACGGATTTCCATGCGCAATTCTGTCCACCAAGAATCTCTTATTTCCGGTTCATCTGGATTGGGTACACGTTCCAATAACTTAACTGAACGAGCAGCTACCGTGGCACCAATATGTAGTATCAAACCAGGGGGATATTTTGTCATCGTTAAGAAGGGATATTCCAACATATCCATACCCTCACCGGTGGCATTTTTACCCACAACTGTTTGTCCCAAACGCATCATTGCCGTGGCGGCCATTAAACGATCACTGGCCACACAAAATGAATTTCCTAGATAAACAAAAAACAAAGTGCGATATAGGTTATGTTTATGTATGGCCCATATTTGTATGTACAAAAAAGTAGTTATGGAAAGAAATAGCCAGATACTGACATGTATTATATGTAAAAAAAACGAAGATAGTTCGCCCTAGATTATGGAACAGCCAATGAGGCCACATTTAAAAAAATAATCGAGTTGTGTTTTATGAGTTTGGTGTTGGTTATTGGTGGTGTCTATGAAATACTAGGATAAATGGATATATGGATATATGCATTACAAAAGTATCTATATTCTACATGGAAGAAATGCCATTTTTTAGATAAGAAAGAGTATGGAGGATATGTATATATGGATATGTATTTTAGGAATCATTCTATTTACAATCCAAGTATGCATTTATTTTTGGATGTGTTTTGAGGGTTTTGAAATAATCTTCCAATATACATTTCGAATAAAAAAGAGTATAGCGCAAAAAGAAATTATCTAGAAAATAAATAATAGGTTAGCATACTTTACACTTCACACCATTGCCCTCATGCTGTATAAGAGTAGTAATTTAGAAGTAGTCTTATAATAAAGAAAATACAAAAATCAAAAATCTCTTCCGAAGATCTAAACTCAAAAGCATTTGAAAAAATTTTTGAAATAATATAGTTATCGATAACATTTCTCCATAGTTGCCGATAACATTCACCTACACATAATAATTTCACTTAGGTTTTTCATAGAAAATGTGATCTTCTTAAAAAGTGGTTATCGCAAACTTCTCATCATAGAAAAGCTGTTATCGACATCTTTTAACCATAGAAAATTTGTTATTGCTGTATTTATTACATAGACTAGTTGTTATCGATAACATATATCCACAGAAAAGTTGTTACGTATAACTTAACTGCATAGAAAAGTTATTATCAATAACATATCTCTAATGAAAAGTTGTTACCGCCAAATTTCTACCACAGAAAATTTGTTAACAACTACTTATCCCCACAACATCGATAACATATATCCACAAAAAGTAGTTACCTATAACTTAACTACATAGAAAAGTTATTATCGATAATATATATCCAAAGAAAAGTTGTTAACGTTAAAATCACGAACACAGAAAATTTGTTATCAACTACTTATCTCCACAAAATTGTTGTTATCGACAGCTTTTCTTCATAGCAAATATGTTATCTACAATTTTATCCGTAGACAATTAGTTATCGATGTAGTTTTTACGTCGTCTAGATGTTGTCGATAAATTATGTCCACAGAGGAGTTGTTAAGCATAACATATCACTATAGAAAAGTTGTTATCGATAACTTATATGCAAAGAAATTTCGTTATCGGCATCTTTTCTTCACAGAAATTTTGTTATCGGTAAGTTATCTTCTTAGAAATGTTATTATCGGCAACTTTTCTTTTTAGAAAAGTTGTTATGAAAAACTTTTCTCGTATAGAAATTTAAACATTTTTCTCCGAAGATTTCTCTATAGAAAATTAGTTATCGATGAAAAATTGTTTATCGATGAAATAATATTGCTATCGGGAGTAGTTATGGAAAAATTTTGTCTATAGAAAAGTAGTTATGGAAAACTTTTCTCTATAGAAAGTTAGTTATCGAAAGTTTTTTTTCCATAGAAAAGTAGCTATTAACTATTTTTCTCCATGGAAAATTATTTATCGACGAAAAAATGTTGCTATCGACTTAGAAAAGTTGTTATCGAAATTTTAACATATAAGTTGCTATCAACGACTTTTCTCCATAGAAAACTTCTTAATGTAGATTTTTCTCCATAGAAAAGTTTTTATCGACAACATTTCTTCATAGAAAAGTTGTTATCGAATAAATGTCTGCATTAAAAATGTATTATCGGTGACATTTCTTCATAGAAATATTGTAATTTCTAAGTATTTTCCATATAAACGCTGTTGTCGACAATATAAATTAGTTGTTATCGATAACTATTTTGAGATTATATCTTTATAGAAAATACATTTCGACATCTTATGTTCACAGAGAAGTTTTTTTCGATATCGATTTTTCATAAAAATTTATCCACATTGAAATGTTTTTATCGACAATTGCTCACCATTGAAAAGTTGTTATCGATAACTCATCTACATAAAAAAGTCGTTATCGATGGATTGTCGCCATAGAATTTTTTATCGATAAAGTTTCTCATAGAAAAATTGTTATCGATAAAGTTTCTCATTGAAAAATTGGTATCGATAAAGTTTCTCATAGAAAAATTTTTATCGATAAAGTTTCTCATAGAACATTTGTTATCGGTAACTTTTCTACATAGGGATTCTGTTATATATCCTTTATCCCTATTAAAAGGTTCTAATCGACAATTGAACACCATAAAAAATTTTTATCGATAACTTGTCTACATAGATAGTTATCGATAGATTTTCTCACTAAAAATTTGTTATCGATCAATTTTCACCCTAGAAATGTTGTTATCGGCAACTTTTCACCCTAGAAATATTGTTATTGACAACTTTTCACCCTAGAAATATTGTTATTGACAACTTTTCTCCGTAGAAAAGTTTATACCGGTAACTTTTCTCCATAGAAAAGTTGTTATCGGTAGAAGTTCACCCCAGAAATGTTGTTATCGATAACTTTTCTCCGTAGAAAAGTTTATACCGGTAACTTTCTTGCATAGAACAGTTGTTATCGGTAACTTTTCTTCATAGAAAAGTTGTTATCGGTAGCTTTTCTCCATAGAAAAGTTGTTATCGGTATATTTTCTCCATAGAAAAATTGTGATCGACAACTTGTCCAAATAGATAGGTTGTTATCGATAATTTTTCTCCATAAAAACGCTGTTATCGATAGCTTTTCTCCACAGAAACACTGTTATCGGATACTTTTCCAAATAGAAATGTTGTTATATGCCTAAAATAGTTGTTGTCGACAATTTTCGCCTCTATTGAAAATTCATTATCGATAACTTTTCTCTAAAGAAACATTGTTTTTGACAATTTTCGTGTTTATCTCTATACGAAAAATGTTATCGCAACTATTCTGTTCACCTGTTTTTCTTTATAGTAAATTGTTGTTATCGAACACTTTTGAGTTAAGAATTTAATATTAAAAACACTCATACACATACATATTTAGGGGATCGTGTTGTGGATAATATGTACGTTGTGTATTTCGATAGAAAAATAGTTACGAAAAATATTGGGATTACACAACACTTAATTGGCATTCTGTATCTGTTGTAGGTCGTATGTACGTTACAAAGAGACAGTTACGAGTATTTAAAAAAAATGTACATACACACATAATAATTAGTTAACATCAAGAATTGTGTTTTTTTTTTTTTTTTGTTTTGAAAAATTAAATAGATCACAAAAAAAACTATATATCGTATATAGAGAAAATAGAAAATACATCAGAGCACACTGAGTCGGTTCAATCTAAAATCGAACTATTACTTACTTTTACGTTGTACAACTTTCGTAGAAGATTCAAATTCAAGGTCAGCGAGAGCATGGCAGAAGAATACACATAACAATATACAATAATAATAACAATAATCGTAATAATAATAATTATAATAGAAACAAATAATTTGCAAAGACTTAAAAAGAAGTTTTGGAAAAATACAAACACAAATGTTTAAAGTAAAAGCAAATTTTAGACTAGTACCTGACCGGGTTTGGAGAAACGATGTAATATTTAAAAAGAATTTAAAATTTTTGGAAATATATAAATAAAAATGGTTAAAGTTAAAGGCGATTCTAACCAAGTACCTTTCAATTGTCTGAAGGGGGAAATTGATTTAAATATTTTAAAGAATGTTTGTACATTATGATTGAGAAATGAAAACGATTCGATTTTTGTTGTTGTTCAAATGAATATATATTGCAGAGTCTTTGACTTGTAAATGCCCTAAATGGGAAGGGAAGAGCTGAATCTTCTGCATTTACAAACCAAAGCAACTTTGTGAGTGTGATTTAGAATTAAAAATGTAGGTACTTACCCTTGGGTGTCACACTCAAATCCGAATCTGAAGATCGTCTACACATTTCTCCCATTTCCTTGGGTATTATTGTGGTGGCCGTTGATATGGTGGTGGCTGATGACAGACTATCCGACTGTGATTGTATGCTAGCTGGTGTGGCAACAACACCTGAACGTGTTGGACTGGGTGTTAGCTTACTGCGATTGCCTACATTGGAAGGAATAGTAGTGGAGTTGGTAGTGGTGGTGGTCGCGGTAGCGGTGATGGTGTTGGCGTTGGAGTTTGTGTTGATTGTGCTGAGCTTGGCGGCCGCTACTTCTTCATCGGCATTCATTGGCATGATGGTGGCGGGCGATACATGATGACCCTTGGTATGTGGACTGCTATTGTTTGAATGATTACTACTGCCGCCAGCAGCTATTTCACTTAACGATCTGTGCTGACGATGATTTTGGTGGTTGGTGATGGTGATTCCAGCATTATTATTAGAAATGAATGGTACAAGCAATGGATTTTGGGCATTACTATTGCTGTTATTATTAGTACTAGTATTTTCATTAATGCTAGAGGCAATAAATTTCGCATTATTGTGATTACAAGGAGGAAATCGCAAGAAATTGCCGCTATGATTCAAATGTTCGGGATCACTTAGAGTGGTGGTATTCGTAAAACTAAATAAATTATGTGGACTAAGGGATAACGAATGACCACCACCCCCACCACAAATGGCATTTACTCGACAGCTACTACAGGGCGATGCTAAACTATCCGACTCGGAAGGTGTGGGCGTGGAGGGACATAATTTAAGTACGGGCTGTCTAAACAAATCATTATTGGTGGGATCATTTAGAATAATGGATGCCGGACGACAATAGGAGCGTTTGGTTTTAATGGCATTTGCTGCTGCAGTAGTTAGGGCAGTCATGGGAGCATTTAAATTGTTAAGAGATTGTGAGTGCAAAACTGGCTGAGACGAGCTATAAGATTTTGTTAGATAATTTAAATCGTTGTGGGATAGACAACATCTATTGGTGGTTGCAATTTCCGCTACACTTATATTTGGAGACATTTCCTGAGACTGCTGAAATAAAGAAAACTCCGTTTTATGGTAGAGTTCCTTTGGGGAGGAGGAGAAGGTTGAGATGGGTATCACCTGAGGACTTGTGGTATCTTTACAAGGATTGATTAGCGAATCAGCATCATAATCTTTTTCTTCTTCATTTTTTATGGTAGATTCGTTGCACATCTTCGTTGTTGTTGTTTTTGTCGGTTGTGTATTTATGGCCGACTCTGATTCAACATAAATTGCCGAATTATGTTTATTACGATGATTACGGCCACATGTACCATGTGACGCTGATGCGGATTGTTTCATTGCCGAATCATCACTCACAGACCGTACAATGGGATGTATGGTCTTCTGAAGACCCTTGGATTTTTTATTCCCCCCTTCCAGCATATCACTACGGCTGCTGCCAGCCCAATGATGTGATCCGGCGGATCCTGCAGTCTTACGTACATCCAACATAGAATTCGATTCTGAACGTATTTTAAGATTCTTTCCGGGAAAATAAATGACACCACTAAGGGAACGTGAACCATCTGAAGAGGATTGATTTTCATCAATTTTACGCATCAACGATGCACATTTATCACCGAAGATGTTGCGTGAAGAAGTTGTAAAATTACGCATTTTATGGGTGAATTTCTTAAGGGGTCTATCGCCACGTCCCTCTTCTTGTTGAATAAGGTTTAACATTAAATTTGAACTATGTTCGGTATCGGAATCGGAACAATCATCTCCACCTCCTCCTCCGCCTCTGCATCCGCCATTCATAGTTAAATGATCAAAATTTAATTTATTTAACGATTGAGTGGAATAAGAGGTTTGGGGTCTTTGGGAAGTACTAAAGTTACCACCTCGAAGGAATTCTAAATATTTTAGGGTGCGTCTATATAATGGCAAAGCAGATTATTTTTTTACAACAACATCAATATTTTGTTATTAATGAGACGCAATATGGTGTATTTGGCAGAGTTAAGTACGCGACAAGTATTTACAAAAAATATGTATGTGTACATATAACATTAGTGGGTTAATATACGATTTGGACGATTGATTGGTGGAAAGAAGATAAATTAAAGAAAAAATCAAGTTAGAACTTGTCCACAATATTAAAACATTCTGCACTAAAGCTCTTAAGGACTAAAAATGCAAAACAAAGGAATTTGAAACCGGGGATGCAATTATTCAGTAATATGGGTATTTCCATGCATTAGCGTATAAAATACCTATACATAAATTTATAAAATATTTCAATCAAAAACAAAAACAAAAAAAACTGGAAAATCGTTTAGTTCGGTCTGGCCGAACTTTTTATTTTACTAAAAAAAATCCCAAAAAATACGGAATAATCTAAAAATCGATCAATATTGAGAATTTTTGCTAGGGATATGTGTCACCCTGTGAGAACCCAAAATAACATATTACAGGTAATTCGATTGAAAAACCCCCAAAATACCAAATTTTGGGTGGTTACGTTTTGATAATTCTGTTGAAAACATGTATAAAGCCCTCAATATACTGAATATTTGGGGTTACCGTTGTATGGGAGCTATGCTAAAAAGTGAACTAATTTTAATAACTCTTGGTAGGAAGGTGTGTTACCCTATGAGAATTCAAGATACCAAATTATAGGCAATTCGGTTAAAACCTGTGTACAAATACCCAAATATCGAATATTTGATGTTAGTCTTGTACGGGTGCTATGCTAAAAAGTGAACCAATTTTTATAAGTTTTAGTAGGAAGATGTGTTACCCTATCCGAATTCAAGATAAGGACTAAAAATGCAAAACAAAGGAATTTGAAACCGGGAATGCAATTATTCAGTAATATGGGTATTTCCATGCATTAGCGTATAAAATACGAAATAATCTAAAAATCGATCAATATTGAGAATTTTTGCTAGGGATATGTGTCACCCTGTGAGAACCCAAAATACCATATTACAGGTAATTCGATTGAAAAACTAATTTTAATAACTCTTGGTAGGAAGGTGTGTTACCCTATGAGAATTCAAGATACCAAATTACAGGCAATTCGGTTAAAACCTGTGTACAAATACCCAAATATCGAATATTTGATGTTAGTCTTGTACGGGTGCTATGCTAAAAAGTGAACCAATTTTTATAATTTTTAGTAGGAAGATGTGTTACCCTATCCGAATTCAAGATACCAAATTACAGCCAATTCGGTTAAAACCCGGGTTAAAAATATTCAAATATCGAATATTTGAGGTTACCGTTGTGCGTGTGCTATGCTAAAAAGTGAACCAATTTTTATACTTTTTGGTAGGAAGATGTATTACCCTATAAGAACCCAGAATACCAAATTACAGCCAATTATATTGTAAAATGTGTCCAAAATCCTCAAAATACCGAATATTTGAGGTTACCGTTGTATCGGCGCTATGCTAAGTAGTGAACCAATTTTTATAATTTTTAATAGGAAGATGTGTTACCCCATGAGAATTCAAGATACCAAATTTCAGCCATTTCGGTTAAAAACCGGGTTAAAAATACCCAAATACTGAATATTTTAGGTTACCCTTGTACGGGCTCTCATAAAAACTGAACCAGTTTTTATAACTTTCCTAGGAAGATGTCATGGTACAATTATAAAAGGTAACAGCAAATCCCAGCTGATTTGATTCCAACGTAATACTAGTGTCAATGTGCATTTGACAAATTATGTTTTTAAAAATCACCCAACAGGAAAATTGGGAACGCATACAATTTGAAATTGTTCTTTTTTAATGTGCCCCCCTATTCAATTTACTCAATCTGCCTGCTGGGAAAGTTTGAGGAAGCAAATCTTTCTTGAAGGAATTACTCGCTATTCCCAGCATTGTCATATGTGTTACAAATATATATGGCAATGGCTCAATTAAAGGATAGATGTGGAAGCGATAGAAATATAAATTTGATAGATTTTCATTCATGTTTTTCAATTTTTATTTTGAGGATTCGAAAATATTCCATTTTCAAAATAAAAATAATTTGATGATAATTTGTTTGTTTGTTTACATTTTTCTGTCAAATGAGTTGACACTAGTAGAACTTACAACAACAAATTTTCATGTGGTTGTTGTATCGTTTTTTGTACAACAACACTTGCTGTTACCTTTTATTATTATACCATGGGAAGATGTGTTACCCTACGAGGAAAAAAACATTTTACAGCCAATGCGCTTGCCAAAATTCTCAAAATTTCGAAAATTAGGGGGTACCATTATATGGGAGCTATGCTAAAAAGTTGTCCCATAAATACCATCTTCAATAACGAACATTCTAAGAGTAATAACAATGTATGTGCAAAATTTCAAAGCTTTATCTTAAATATTGACAGCTCTATATTTGATTTCAACATGCCGACGGACCTGCACATATCGACATAGAATTTTATTTTGATCAAAATATAAAGTCTCTAGGGAATATTGTTTATTTAAATTTAAATACGGAAACCCCTACAACAATTATTTCTGTTGAAAAATAACCCATAATACAAAGATGGAATTATGCTCCATTGTCTGTGTTTTCAACTCCATGGAAGAACCCATAGAAATTCTTACATTTCCATCATGCGAAGTGTCCATATTTTAAACATAAATGTGAAATCATATGCCAATTATATCATTTAAAATTTCAACATCCATTCGAATATACTCACTCTTCGATTAATGCACTATCTGCTGAGGTTGGCTGATTTGTGGTGTCCTTTATCAAAGTGACTGCGGTACCAACACCACGGGCAACAACACCAACATCTCCCTCCAAATCAAAACACTGGGTATAACCAATAACAGCATTGGCACCCATATTAATGGCCTTCAGACCCATTTTACGTTGGACCTGGAATAAAAATTTAAGAAAAAAAATAAGATGTAAATAAATTTTCTCAAAAAATGCATATGCTTTACTCACTTGTCCCGACAATTTTAAAAAGACCACCTGGCGGGCTTCATTGGATGCACGTGGTGTACGTATCTTATCAATCCATTGATATTCCGGATCATCATTTACCACTAATTCTTCAACAAATCCATGGATAACTTGGGCCCGATAGCCAGTCGGTATGCAGGGAGCTTTTTGTAATTAAAAGATAACTATATTTAATAACATTCTCAATATCCTGTACTTATATACTTACAATGAAAAAAAGGTATACCACATGAACTCTGACGAAATTTGTTGGCATCCGAAAACAAGTCCACCTTAACAATTACATGCACTTCGCCCCGAATACCATGCATTGTATCGAACACGGGTATCCAACCCGATAATACTGTGCCTTTGCCATGACTCTGACCCGATGTTTCCAAACACAAGGGGTTTAAGCTAATATTCACTTTGCCAATGGCATCATTGGCCGAATAGGTGTCATAGTCCATAAGACGTATTTGCAGAATTTCATCCTGTAGTTCAGCATCGTCAACCTCGAAGCGAAACCTACAAAAAAAGAAAATAGTATGGTGTGTTGTACAAGGGCAGGGGAGGAGGGTACCCGCATTATTAATAATCGATTATAAAATAGAAATATTTTTATATGTACGTATCAAATCTTTGCCATTCACTACAAAAATAGCCAACACTTTTTTGCGTTTATCTCTCACTTTTATGATTATCGTGGGTCTTCCGATAAGAAGACCCACTTATTGCTGGCCGACCAACCAATTAATTTACTTACCAATCAGAATTGAAAACAGGATTTAAACTTTTCCGACAAACGTCCGTTTTGTGGGTAACATTTCCTAATTTAATTTCTACGTAGGCGTCAGTGGTATCCGAAGATTTGTCCATAACTGGCAGATTCCTGCCAGCTTTAATTTTTACTGCAACTTTTCCTGGCATTTCATGGACAAAACGACGAGTCTATCTATCCGCCTTTAGTCAGATGAAATAAATTGAGTTGGGTAGTTCCGGAACGAACTAGTTCATTGGAACTATTCCGAGAAAGGAACGAACGGAACTAGTTCCAGTTCTTTAATTAATATAATTCCTTTCTCTGATCCAGTTCCTTTTTTTGAACTATTTGAAGCAAAGGAACTGTATGGAGCAAAGGAACTATATGGAGCAAAGGAACTATTTGGAGCAAAGGAACTATATATGGAAAAACGAAAAAAAAAATAATAAAAGAGAGAGAGAGATTCAAAAGAACAGTGGGAAGCCTCCAAGACTCCAGCCTTCATAAAATTCGCTTGTTAATCGTCGTTCTGCCAAGACTCAAGCGACGTCGTACGCAAACCTTCGCCAACAAATGGTCTGTTCCAGTACTTTTTATAGCCCCCATATAACGGTACCTCCTAATTTTCAGTATTTTTTGGGTTTTTATCGTATTTTTCACCGAATTGGCTGTAATTTAGTATTTTGAGTTCTTAGCAGGTACCAAATCTCTCCGCAAAAAAATTTAAATGTAGGTCAATTTTTTCGGATATCCCCCATATAAGGGTACCCCCCAATTTCGGTATTTTGGGGTTCTTGAGCGCGCTTTTCAACCGAATTCGCTGCAATTTTGTACATTGGGTTCATATTGCGTACCAAATATCTCTACTAAAAATTATAAATATCGGCCCACTTTTTCTGGTAGCACCCATATAAGGGCACCCCAAATTTTCGGTATTTTGAGGTTCTTAAGCGCGATTTTCAACCGAATTCGCTGAAATTTGGTACAGTGGGTTCATAATGGGTACCAAATATCTCTATTTAAAATTATAAATATCGGTCCACTTTTTCATTTCAAATACCTGTCAGTATACCTGTGGTGGAGGGTATCCAAAGTTCGGCCCGGCCGAACTTAACGCTTTTTCACTTGTTTAATAGTAAAGCTGGTAAAAGGGAAACATTTCAAGTCTCAGAGTACAAAATAATTTGAAAAGTTCGGGAACGCAAATCTAGTAAATATGCCAAAATTAGATGGCAATACTTCAAAATCAACATAACAAAAAGTTTACAAAGAGAAAGCCATTTTGTTTTGTGCTCTCTTAAATTTGATTCAATGCTTTACCAGTTTTATGGGTTCAGGAACGGTTTTCGAGTAAAAAGTTGAAAAAATTTTTAAATTAGTAGATTCTTTTAGGTTTTGGAACGGAGCTAAAATAAAAACGACGATTGAAAAAAATTGAAAAACGTTCCACGTGCTAACGAATGGGAGGAGAAGACAAAATGGCCGATAAAGATGAACTCAAAATGGTATAACCGAAAGTTTACGAATGAGGTGGGATAGAGACTAAATGGAAACCGTGTTGTTTACGAATGAGGTTTAGGCAAATTATGATTAGGGATAAGTAAATCGACTTTCGATTAATCGACTTTTTGTATTGAAAAGTCTAATGCCATGAACAGACGAGCGTTGTTCCCTCTCTCATTCGTGGTTCGACTCTTAATTATGAAGTAATTACATAGTTCAAAGGAACTACATTAAGGAACTAGTTCCTTTTTAAAAAAGAAACGAGAATGATCGATCCGCTACGTGAACTAGATTGCCCAACTCTAAAAATAAATGACCGATCCAAGGCAGTAGATTTAATAAGGTAGCCCCATTCGCAATTGATTACAACAAACAACCGTTGTCGAACAATGATATGTCAAAAAACAAACCGATTCTTATGAGTTTTTTCACAAATTGATATAGAAAACTTTAATAAATGTATTGACAAATAAGTTTTTTTTCAACATTCACCGATTTCCATTCATAATTCTGTATTTTATTCTGTTGTTTTTAAATTACAACAACATTTTTGACAGCTAATTGTACAAACAGCTGTGCTGAGGCGGCTACCTTATTCAACCTGCCTAATCTAAAAGCGTTTCGAATGCTGCGTATAGGGGAGACAAAAGAGATTAGCCGATGAAGACCTGATTGAAACGAAAATCGAAGGCACTCATCAAAGTTTACGAATAAGTGTGAAGCATAATGTCGTAGAACTCGTCATGTTTAGAACGCAGGCAAAGAAGAAAGAACAAAAATGGATTGTTTCATTCCGTTCCGTTCTTTCACGTTCGTTTTTTTCGGGTTGCCACATCTGCTCAAGTTCATTTGTGCATTGATGTTAATTGGTCTGTTCCAGTACTTTTTTTAAATTGTAAATCTAGTAAAAAAACAGTTTTGGAACGAAAAACTAGTAAAAATGTCAAAATTTGATGGCAATACTTCGAAATCAACACAACAGCCAGACCGAAGTTGGCATTCCCAGTTACCATTTACCTCGGCCAAATTTCCCGAGTAAAAAGTTTACAAAGGATCTGGAACCGAACTAATATGTTACGTTTTAAATCATGAATAATTTATCTTCATTTACCAGACAAAATTTTTAAATCATCTATTGTCATGGCATAATAACACAAGGCATAATTCCAATGTTTTTATATGGTCTGTTCCCGTACTGCAAGAATCTACTACTTTTTACTACGATAACGAATTTTTCCTTATGATATCGAAAAAATATAGGAAAATCTTGCAGATCTTGTACTTTTGACATGACAATTATGGAAGGTAATCTCTGTTCAGCAATTGATAGTCTGTTGCAGTACTTTTTTAAATAAGTAAATCTAGTAAAAGAGAAACATTTCAAAATTGCTCTCAGAATACAAAATAAGTTCCGTTCCAGAACCTAAAAGAATCTACTAATTTTACAAGTTTTGCAACTTTTTACTCAAAACCGTTCCTCAACCCACAAAAATGGTAAAACTTTGAATCAAATTTAAGAGAGCACAAAACAAAATGGCGTTCTCTTTGTAAACTTTTTACTCGAGAAATTTGGCCGAGCAAAAATGGTAAACAGGAATGTCAACTACTGATTGGCTGTTAAGTTGATTTTGAAGTATTGCCATCTAATTTTGGCATATTTACTACATTTTCGTCCTGAGGTGAATATGCTATTAATCAAAATTTATTATGAAAACATTTTTTTCCCTTTTTTGAGTACGGGAACTACCAATGGTTGTAATGTTGATGTTAAAGACAATTATATCTTTTTTATTGTCCCGTTTATTGTTTTAAGCGGTGTACACACTATCATTATTGACTGTCAACTTTTTTATCGATTACTGACTGCCCAACAACCATAAATATTTTTGTGGTTGCCTGATAAATGACAAACATGTGAGGCCACACTATCAAACAAGCACAATTTGGGCAAGAGTGCCATTCAAAAATGCTAGTGTGTACTATCATTTTTGACTGTCAACTTTTTTATCGATTACTGACTGCCCAACAACCATCAATATTTTTGTGGTTGCCTGATAAATGACAAACATGTGAGGCCACACTATCAAACAAGCAAAATTTGGGCAAGAGTGCCATTCAAAAATGCTAGTGTGTACACCGCATTATTCTTGACAAATGTAAACCTACTTTTATAACAAGGCAACTATGTCATCAATTCCCTTTACATAGCACACCAACTTAACGGCGTCAACAAATTCAATGACGCTAGCGACGCCATTTTGCCGACATAAATTTGGGTTGGCAACGTACGCCACCTAATGCAAATACAGAAAGTCGATTAATCGATTAGTCGAAATTTGATTTACTTATCCCTAGTACGCAGTGCTGCCAGTTAAATTTCATGAAAAATCGTCAATTTTTCGGAAAAAAATCGACATAATCGGCATTTGTATTTTTAAAAATCGGCAAAAAATCGGCAGCATATAATTTATAAATAAATTCATATTTTTTTGGTTTATAACAAATCAATATTGTTTATTACATTAAAAAATATAACAAATTCAATTCTGTATAAAAAAAATAACATAAAAGATTCATTTTTCTACAAAAATTGTAGATTTTTCTAAAATATAGTAATTATTATGTACACTAGTGAGATCTTTCAGATTTACGTATAACAGAGTGTGATATTAAGGCCATAAAAATAACTTACAAACTAGTACATATTTTTATTACACATTTTTAGTAATTCATTATCAATTTTGATATTAAAACAATTTGAATTATTTAGTTTGAGGTAATCTTTAGAATAAAGAATCCCTTCCAATGAATCATTCTCAAGTGAGCTTCTAATTTTAGTTTTGTTAAGGTTTACCTGATTAAAAATTCGTTGCACATTTGCTGTGGAGGGTGGAAGAACCATAATTCTTTGTACAAATTTAGACAAAACTGGAAAAGCTAAATTGGAGTCCCCACGTTAAATTTCGGAAATTTTTTTCCAAAAACTTTTTAAATTATATTCTGCATTTTCAAAAATTTCTTCAAAATTCAGAAAGTTTAACTCCCTAAACTCGGAGTCTAAAGATTGCCTCTCAGTTTCAAAAATAAAATCGGGGAATTCTTTTAAAATATCTAGAAAAGAATTATTGCCCTTCTTCATTACTCTTCCAGGATCAATAAGTTTTAAGCATTTAAATGAATGTAAATTAAAATCAAAACGTTTTAAAACGTTTCTTCAAAATTCAGAAAGTTTAACTCCCTAAACTCGGAGTCTAAAGATTGCCTCTCAGTTTCAAAAATAAAATCGGGGAATTCTTTTAAAATATCTAGAAAAGAATTATTGCCCTTCTTCATTACTCTTCCAGGATCAATAAGTTTTAAGCATTTAAATGAATGTAAATTAAAATTAAAACGTTTTAATATATCTGACAAAAAATGCAGATATCTAAGCCATTGAAAACGGCTGCGCCGAGTCGCCGATAGTTATAATGATTTAAAGCTGCCAATTTTATATGTTTTTTATGGTAACGCCGTATTAAATTATAAAGTTAGACAATTTGTGTCGATTGTTGAAATATCGGCAATTCTAAGGCAAAAATCGGAAAATCGACATTTTCCATTTTTTGAGTGAAAAATCGTCAAAATGCCGATAAATCGGCAAATATGGCAGCCCTGCTAGTACGCCAGTACG